AGTCGAGGCCTCGCCCTGCCGACGCACTGTTTCTGTAACGTGTCCAGATTAGGTTGTGCGGACGTTTTAAAGCTGATTAAATCTTTTCCCATTTCATGGATTGTTTCGTGGAAAACCGTTTCAGGATGAACGAGTGCACGCTGACCTGTGAAAGGTGACTCACACGTGGTCGTCTCTGTGTTTCGACAGATCTCTCCAGGCAGCAAGGCGGCGCAGGGCAACCTGATGCAGGGTGATGTCATCGTCGCCATCGATGGCGTCAGCACCGAGGGGATGACTCACCTGGAGGCCCAGAACAAAATCAAGATGGCAAACTACAACCTGGCACTCACCATGTCCAAGTAAGAACCGACTCCTCCCCGCTCACACTTCCTGTCTGTAACAGCTTCCTGTTTGTCCTCAGATGTTGATGTGAAAACCTTTTAGGCCCCACACAGGTGACAGTCACACCTGCCAGTGTCTGAGGTCACATTGATTGGTAATAACTCGTTTGGGGCGTCAGAAGATCTGAAGGTGTCTGACGTTATTCGCTCTGCAGAAAAACTGGTCAGATATCATAAATAAAAAGTCCTGTTGGGTTTAAACAGGTTCTGCTCATCTGCACCTCCAGATTTGATTCTCACAATCTCCTGCAACAGCTTTGCATGATTCACAGTTCAAAATAATCCTTCTTTGTGTGATATTAAGCCTCAGCTCATCCTCTGTCTGAAATGTAGTTTGTGAAGTTTCTTTTCGTTCTTCGGGTTTTCTGATGTTTTGTTCCTGTTGTCCTGTGTGTGATGTTGGATTGAAGCGCACGGCCACTGCCTGGAATGAAGGTTGTGGATTTTGGGATTTCCCTCAGTCTGCTGCATCCTTTGCGCTCGGATCATTTCCTCCTTTCAGCCATTACGTTTACGTCTCTCTGTGGCATGAAGACGTCTGACAGCTGAGAGGGGAAATGAATGTTGGTCCACAAAGCGCTCGCTGCGGTCTCTCATAACCACAGAGCCTCGGGTGATGAAGACGCTCAGCTCAGGATGAAGAGACGCCGTTTTTCTTTCCCATTATTGTTTTAAATGTTTTGCTGGTGTGAGGTCAAGCTTGTGATGAAGCGGTGGAGACAGGCCAGGAAATCATTGTTAACCCCCGCTCAGCCTCGAGCTGTATCGACTGATGAGGCGGACCGCTCACAATAAACTGACTTCAGTCAAATATTGGGGTCATTTTCCTTTTGCCACCAGAACAAAACGACCTGTGAAGAGACAGAGGGTGAGATAAAAACCTCAGAAGACCAAACACTGAAGATAACCACAACCTTATCGTCATCATAACATCCTGTTTGATTCTCTTTTATTCTAATGGGACCGAAAACATCGTTTTGCTTCTTTTCTCGACCACAGGAGTCGCCCCCTGCTGCTTTCAGATGGCCCCGCCCCTCCCTGAGCCTGGTTATGGTATCTTCTGTTAAGAAGACAGATGCGTCGCCCAGCCACGCCCCCTCCAACAGCACAGACATGGTGCAGAGGTCCAGTTCAAGGACTCCTGCTAGCTGAGGCAAAGCCTAGCAGGCAGCTAAAGCTGCCATCATGTAGGACAGGGGTGGGGAACTCCAGGCCTCGAGGGCCGCTGTCCTGCAGGTTTAGATCTCACCCTGGGTCAGCACACCTGAATCACATGACTAGTTCATTACCAGGCCTCTGGAGAACTTCAGGACATGTTGAGGAGATCTCACACCAGCCTTCCCCACCCCTGATGACTTTTTTTCACCTCCAGGTGTTCCTCTAGTGATCCACTGTCAGGTGAAATCTCTGAATCTTGAATATGAACTGAGAGCTGCTGAACAGGCGACAGTGCTGAGGAGTAAAAGAAACTTCACCTGACGTCGGGTCAGGCAGGAAGTAGTGAGGCTGTG